GTACGCTCCTTAGTGGCGGTGCACACTCCTTGCTTTAAGCTTATGTCCTTGTCCAGCTTTAAGTCTGTAGGAAGCACTCAGAGTTAATTGATCTCATTTGTAGGTCTCAGCAGAGTTCCCCTTTCCCACCTCCAAATGATGCGTTGGGTCTCTCTGCCAGAGGAGTGTCTGTGTGTGTGTGCGTACATCATGCACACACACACACCCATCTCGTACCGTAGTATCACTGTCAGCCAGAGGAGTGTGTGTGTGTGTACGCTTGTACACACCCCCCCAGACACCCATCTCGTACCGTAGTGTCACTGACAATGCTGCTGCCTTAGCTCACTGGCTCCCATGGAGGGGACCACAGGCAGGGCACCTCGGCCCATGCAGCTCCAGGCAGCATCAGAACTGCAGGGACCCCTTCAGTGCCTGGGACATCAGCAGAGGTGGGGGCAGCTGCTTAGGAAGCCCTGATGCACCCACCGTGGGAAGCCTGCCCCCTACTGGTGACCACACCCTGTGTTCACCCTTTGTGGGTACCTGTCCCCATCCAACCCCTCCTTCCCTTTCCATGTTATGTTTCCAACTCAGAGGGGCTCATTGGCTCTGCCTTCCAGAGAGATCTGGAGGGTGGTCCTCTCCCACCCTCTCCACCCCTGCTCTGGTCTCAGCACCACTGTCCTCGGAATTGCCCAGCTCTGGGCATCTCAAACCTCGGCACCACTGACACTTCAGGCCAGGTCATTCCGTGTGGCGGGGCCGGTCGTTCCGTGTGGCGGGGGCGGATGTTCCTTGTGGCGGGGCCGGTCGTTCCGTGTGGCGGGGCCGGTTGTTACGTGTGGCGGGGGCGGTCGTTCATATTATAGAAGGCTTAGCAGCATCCCTAAACGTCAGAAGCACCCCTGCCAATCGTGGCAACCAAAATCATCTCTAGACCTTGCCTAGTGTCCCCTGGGAGAAGTTTGCCACCAGGTGAGAGCCGAGGGCCAGCTAGTCTCCCTGCCTGTCTCTGCACAGCCAGATGCTCCTTTAAACTTACCGTCATCCAGCTCTCTGCTCAGAGCCCCAGGACGTCCTCTTACTCAGAGTAGGATCTCAGGTGCTCACCATGCTTCCCTCAGGCCTGAGTGGCCTGGCTGTGTCCCCACCACTTTCTGAGAGCTTCCTGAGCCATTGGCCGCCCGGCCTTCCTGCTGGTCAGAGACACTCCAGGGAGGGGCCTCCGCGACTGACTACATGCAGCTGCTCTTGCTCCCGTATTTTACTCCGGCCTCTGCTGGTGTCGCCTGGAGCGGCCTTTCTTGCCCACCCGTGGAGAGTACCTCACTCCGACTCCCCCATTCGGTCACTGCCCACCGGCCTTCTGTGCCTTCTGTTTTCCGTGGTGCTCAGTGCCGCCCGATCTGTGTCTGTCTGTCTCCCTACTGCCCCTGAATGTGAGATTCCTGAGATCAGGGCCTTGCCGCCCTGGCCCGTGATCACGTGCGTGGTACCGTGGATCCTGGTTAACCTGCTCCATCTCCACCACAGGCACCAGGCCTCTCTTCACGGAGGATAGGTTTGTGATGTGGTGGCCCCTCTCCACAGAACAGAACGTGGAGGCAGAGGATGTTGGCAGTGGGGCCCACCAGGCAGGGCCCACAGCCCTGATAGCCGTGTCAACACTCATTCATGCTAACGTGGGGGTGGAGTTTGGAAAAGGACACCAGTAATGGTGGCGCAGCATGAAAAGTGCCACCCATGTCCCTGAGCTGTGAACGGGAAGGTGGTTATGTTGGTGAACGTTGTGTATATTTTCACCACAGTAAAAGTTAAAAAAAAAAAAAAGGCACACTCCGTTCAGCAGGCTCGTGAGCAAAATTTAAAAATCGCTAATAACCGCTGTGCATGCAGACAGCTGGCGCTTGGAGCGCGGTCTTTCTGGTCTTGGTTCTGTTTGGAGACCTCTGGCACCCTCCCTCTCAGTGTTGGTTCACTGACCTTGGAGGGTGTTCACATGTTTAGGGCCCGTGGTGACCATGAGATCTGTCCACCCCCACCTCCCATCCTATCTCAGGAACCATTTAAAAAACAAAAAACCTCCAGTGTATTCAGGGTGCAGGAGCAGGGTACCTCTAACAGTGGGAGTGTGGGTTTTGTTTCATGGTGCTTGGTTTGGGGCTGGAATCTTGTGTTCGCTAAGAGGAGGCACAGCGCCCTCTAGTGCTGGCAGCCTTACCAGGCAGTCGAGGGCTGTGATTTGGGGAACCCGTTGCTCTTGGATTCGGACTCAGCGACGCCATAGGGCAGGTTAGAACGCCCCAGAGGGTTTCCAGGGCTGTAATCTGTATGGAAGCAGACTGCCTCATCTTTCTCCCTCGGAGCAGCTGGTGGGTAAAAACTGACCTATTGGTTAACGGCTGAGAGCTTAACCACTGTGCCACCAGGGCTCCTTGTGCTATGGGTGATTGATCCTTTACAAGTATAGTGAGCAGTGGGGGCGGACTGCTGGCGCAGCACCTCCTGAGTGTCGCGTGGCAGTTCCTGCGCGGCGGAGCGCGGTGGGGCCCTCCCCGCCTCCCACGCGGACGGAGCGTTTTCAGCTAAGCAGCTGGGAAAGAGTTGGGGTCCTTTAGACAGTATGGACCCTCCAGAACTACCTTCTACCCTGTTCTGACCTCTGTGGTTCTGGGGAAGGGGTAAGCTTTTTGTGTGGTTCAGAGAACGGGCTCCAGCCACACAGCCCGAGTTCAAGTCCCAGCCCCTCTGCTTCCTAGCTGTGTGCGACCTTAAAAGTTACTTGTTCTCTCTCTGTCTCAGTTTACTTGCCTGTAAAATGGGGATGGTGACAATACCTGCCTGTTAGGGCTGTTGAGCGTTTATGAGTTAAAGTGCACACATGCTTAGAAAACACCTGACCCGTGATACTCACACGGGGGACTTTGGTTGTGAGGTAGAGGGTGACTGAGCCCCGACTTCGTCGCAGCACAGAGTTCTTCTTACAAGTAGGGGTGCTTCTAGGCTGCAGGAGGCAGGGAGAGGAAAGCACTGATACGTGGAGAGGCGCCTGGAAAGGCAGCGAGTCATGCGGCAAAGTCGTAGAAGATGATGGAGCCCTTTTGCACACAACACCCTTGGACTAGAAAGTAGCTGACCCATTCCTCTCCCGTCACTCCCACTCTGCTCCCAGCACCATCCGGGCTGTGGAGAAACGAGGAGGAACTGTCAGGAAAGATGGGAGACCCCACCCCAAGGCGGGTGAAGCTGTGCCTGCAGGCCGTCACGCACCAAGGGCACTTGGAGAGCCGCCACCAAGAGGACAGCCCGTCTCCTGGGAGCACGGAGGCGCCTGCCTGCCAGTAGGCTCTGCAGAGGACAGAGGGAGCAGCCGCCTGCGCCTGAGCGGGGCCGGCATCTCCAGGGCTGGAGCTCAGCGTCCTGTGTGCAGAGGCGGGTCTGCGGCCAGGATGCAGGCGGCTGAGCACGTTCCCGCCCCAGACTGCACCTGTGCTATCCCCCTTCCTCTGCTGGCAGCTCGCAGGACAAGACACAGTTGCCACCATAAGGGCAGGATCTGTGGACACCCTGCACGGGACCCCGCGTCTCTCCCCTGGGGTCTCAGAGCAGGCAAGGAGCCTGTACCTCCCCACCACAGTTTGGTTCCAAGGAGGGCATCCCCCCCCGCCCCCACAGTGCAGCCTCATTAGATATCCTAGTACTGCAACTTCTGGTTTCTATGGCACCTTGGGAAAACCTGCAGTTGTGCTTTTGGAAGTCTGAACAGGAACAGGGAATTGGGTAGGTGGGGCAGCAGCGTGGAAAAGACCTCGTGGGGACCAGAGAGGAGGGAGGAAAGTGACTCCTGGTCCCCGGGCGCCCTCAGCAGAGCTCTTGGGGTTTCTGACCAGACGTGAAAAGAGCCTGGACCCCAGAGGAGTGGCAGCATCCCAACCGTTTGCTGAGTGTTTACTGTGTGCCAGGCACTGTGCTGGGCCTCTGCCACCATTGTATTAAATCGCTCAGCCACTCTGAGAGGGCACTGCTCCTGCTGCCCAGCTGCAGGCCTGCAGACACCCCCCTCACTAGGGAGCCCACTGCTGGGGGCCCATTTCCTGTAGGAACGTCCCTGCTACTTTCCCTTCCACCTGTGTCTGTGAGAGTCACGTCCTGCTAACGGCACAGCTTGTCTGGTCCTCAGTGTTTTCCTCGCTGTTTCTGCCCTCCCTGCCTGGAGGTCGCCTCTCCTGCCCCAGGGTGGAGTCCAGCTGGAACCTGTTTGGGGAACAGCTCTTCCGTCCCAGGCACTGGGCTGTTGGCATCCAAGAGACCCCTGGCACTGTGGCCTCAGTGAGGAGTCAGTGGAGTGGCCCAGGGTGGGAAAGCCAAGGCCCACCAGCCTGTGGGGGCTGACTCAGGCCAGGGCAGTCAGAGGCCCACAGGGCCTGGCAGAGGCAGGCGGCAGCAGTCGCCGGGTCCTGACCGCCCACTTCTTGGAAGCCACTGCTGAAGGGTTTGTGATCAGAGGGTCAGGTGCCTGTCATGCCACCTGGCTGGGCCCCAGAGGTCCACCTTCTGGGGGTCACTCAGCAGATCGAGGTAAGGAGCAAGCACAGCTGGCCGGGAAGGACAGCCCAGATTAGTGTCGTGAGGTCAGGCAATAGCAGGGCTCCAGGGTGACTTTCATGGCCCAGCCCCGCCCCGCCCTCTGCACTGATCACCAGCTCGGAGGGGCACCTGCGGAAGATGGAGAAGGGTTGACCTGAAACAGTGTTTGGTTCTCTAGGGCCTTTGCCAGAGTGAGGCCTCTGGGATCTGCCACGTACCTGGCTTTGAGTCTGATCAGGGTGCCCCAGCAAGCGTCAGGCTCACCTTCTGGCAGCGGGTTGGAGGGGAGCTGACAGTGTCTGTCTCTGGCCTGGCACCAGCGGCAGGAGTGTGTGTCAGCCATGGGCGTGACACTCGGTCGGGTAGGGTGTTGGGGAGGGATATGCGGTCAGTGACTGCGGCCTGGCCTCTCACTGTGCTCCCTCTCACAGCTGAAGCTGGAGGACCGCTCCGTGGTACCTCGGGACGTGGTCCGGCACATGCGCTCCACCGTGAGTTCTGGGCGCCCCGGTCCTCTGCCTGGGGTGGGGGAGTACCATGAAGCGTGTGCCTGATGCCGGCTTCCTCTCGCCCCAGGACAGTCAGTGTGGGACGGTGATCGACGTGAACATTGACTGTGCTGTCAAGCTGATCGGTACCAACTGCATCATTTACCCTGTCAACAGTAAGGACCTGCAGCACATCTGGGTGAGCCATCAGCACCCTGCCCACCCTGTGGCTCTAGCCCGCACAGCCCCTCCCTGCCATGAGGCTCCTCCCACGGACGGGGCCACGCCCCCAGCTCTGCCTGGTGACAGGTGGAGTCCTGTACCTGCTCCTCCCCTAACCCTTCTTCCTTTCTGCCAGGTTTCTTCTTAATAAGCTGTTTTCAAATGATTTCAGACTTACAGAAAAGCTGCACATACAGTATGGAGAGCCCCTGCCCGGCCCTGGGTGCCCCCACTGTTACCGTTTCACTCCACATGTTCCATTGCCCACCTCCCCCCATCACCCTCGCACTCTAGTCTTTTTTCCTGAAACATTTGGGAGTGCGCTGCGGCTAGTGTGCCCCAGGCCCCAAAATACCCCAGAGCGAATTTCCTGAAGTGAGGACATTCTTCCCAGTGCGGAAACCAGCTCTGGGACATCCCTGTCCCATCCACAGACCCCATCCTATCCCCGCCAGCTCCGGTTTCTCCTTTCCGACTAGGCCCCCAGCAGAGCATGCCTGGCACGGATTGTCAGTGTCCACCCCCTCCCGTCTGGGGCACTTCCTCATGTCGCCCTATGTCCGTGCCCTGGGCAGCATGACCCACAGCCTTTGTGAGCTGCCTCCAGCCATGTGGGAGGACCACAGCCTCCCATGGCGGGCCACAGCATGCAATGGGCCCAGTCACGGGGGCATCCACCTTGCTCCCTGGTGATGTTGGTATCTGCCAGGTTTCTCCACTTACCCTTTTTAACTGAATCTATTTTGTGGAGAGAGAGTCTGAGATTAGGAGCCCTGGTGGTGATTCACTGGTTAAGTGCTCAGCTGCTAACCAGATGGGTGGGTCAGACCCACCAGCCATGGGAGAAAGATGTGGCAGTCTGCTTCCGTAAAGATGACAGCCTTGGAAATGCTGTGGAGGGAGTGGTCCTGCCCTGTCCTTTAGGGTCACTGTGAGTCAGAATCCACTCAGCAGCCATGGGCTGATTCTCCAACAGTGTCCACACCCTGTCCTTGTCAAACCCCCGTCCACCAGGCTCCGCCTCCATTACCTGCCTGGACCAGCCATCACTCCACCAGCTGGTAAACAGGGATTAGGGCTCCTTTTCCCTCCTCTTCAGAGCCCTGATGGTGCAGTGGTTAAGCTCTTAGCTGCTGACCGCAAGGTTGGCACTTCAAACCTACCAGTGGTCCTGCGGGAGAAAGAAGTGGCGGTCTGTTTCCATACAGATCACAACCTTGGAAACCCTATGGGGGCAGTTCTGTTCTGGCCTGTAGGGTCGCTGTGAGTCAGACTCAACAGCAGGGGGTTTGGTTGGGGTCCTAGCCCTCCTCGTCTTGGTGTTGGCACTGCTAGAGGGACAAGCCTGCCCTCCCCGTCTCCCTGTCTCCTTACTCACTTTCCCTATCAGTGCGGGGGGCCTGGTTCATTCTGTTGGTTACAGTCCGTCTCTACCATTGTTTATTTCGTTCTTCAGACCGTCCCAGATTTGGCTCATGGCGGCCCCTGAGAGCTGGCCCGTGTCCCCCCTGTTGAGCATTCTCTTACCTCCTGGCTCACTGAGATGTTCTAGGCTCCCCATGTATTTCTGTGGTGTCAGCCCTGGCACCAGCCATTTCTCTGTGAACCCCTGGCTCCTTTCAGGGAAAACCCTCCCCAAGGCCCTTACACAGGTGCACAGGGGGCTCTGCATGTCAACACGTGCACATACACACGCACGCACGTGAACGCATCAGCCCCTGTGCCCTGTACATACTTGTACACATGTATGTACGTGTACACGAGCTCCAGTGTGTCAAGTCAGGCTCCTTCTGCCCTTCCTCCTCCGTGTCGGTGATAAGGACCTTCTCCAGCAGTTCTCGTTCATTCTCCTCAACGGATTTCCCTGTTCACTGAAATCACTTATTTGTGCGAGTAACCAGACCCTACCATATAGCATCTCCCTGCTCCCCCATCCATGAGCCGTTCCCACCCGGGTCCGCTCCCTCCCGCTGCCTCTGCGTGCCCTCCTGTACCAGGGAAGGGAAGCAGGATCCCGCTGAGAAGACTTGGGGTAGGGACCAGTGTTGGACCTGGCCAGGCAATAGACACTCCGGGCCCTCCTCTTCTGCCGCGGTAGGCCCGAGGGAGGTGTTCCTGCCCCAGCCAACAGCAGTGTCTGCCATCTCACTGTCCCTGTCCCCTTGGCCTGCAGCCCTTCATGTACGGGGACTACATCGCTTACGACTGCTGGCTGGGGAAGGTCTACGACTTGAAGAACCAGATCATCTTGAAGCTGTCCAATGGCGCCAGGTAGGAGCTCACCCCGAGCCGCTGGTCCTGTGCTGCCTTGCTCGGCTGCTGTGACCTTGTTTTCAGGCTTAGTCTCTGGGCTCCGCTGTCTCTCGGCTCGGGGAGCACAGCAGCGTCCTTCACACATCAGCCTTGAGGTGGTGAGCGCTCGGCCGTGGGGTTAGGGTCTCGTCCAGTGGGGGAGAGTTCCTCGTGCCAGTGATGAGGCTGAGCTGCTGCAGAAGATGTCCTGGGCGTGGAGGCAGACTGGCGCCTCTGGGTGGCAGCGGTTTGCGTGCCCTGCCCGGGACTCCAGTCCCTGTGTCCCCCCAGTGGAGACCAAACTCTGCTCTGTTCCAGGTGCTCCATGAACACGGAAGATGGTGCCAAGCTCTATGATGTCTGCCCCCATGTCAGCGACTCGGTGAGTAGGCTCTGCCAGGAAGGCATCTCATCTCCGCAGTCCTCGCCTGCCCCTGAGCACTGCAGAGGAGGGAGAACTTCTTGGCCCAGGGCTCACCGCTGTCTCGGGTGGAGTGCTGGAACGGGGCGGGTGTGCGCTGGGCCCGCGAGAGTGTGGGTTGTAGGCCGAGAACGTTAGAAAGGTCCCGTGCATTTATGTTTCCTTTTATCTCGTTCTTGGTGGATCTTTTTCTGCGTGAGTGTACCCGATACTCGCTGCCGTACACTGCTGGGTGCAGCAGCACGTGTGCAGTTTCCGAGTAAATCTATGTGCCCTGAGGGGTGTTGGGGGCTGGGCAGAAGGCCCTCAAGGACCATCTGTCACCTGAGGAGGCACTGCTCACAAGGATCCTCCTCCCACCCCAAATCCTGCAGGGCCTCTTCTTTGATGATTCCTACGGCTTCTACCCGGGCCAGGTGCTCATCGGCCCTGCCAAGATCTTCTCCAGCGTCCAGTGGCTGTCAGGGGTCAAGCCTGTACTCAGTACCAAGAGCAAGTTCCGAGTGGTGGTGGAAGAGGTAGGCCCAGGGGCCGTGGGGTGGGCTCAGCTGCCAGGCCCTGGCACCAAGCAGCTGTCTTGGCCCTCTCTTGCTGAGGGCACAGGCCTCCACTCAGCCTCTGAACTGTTGAGCTGGGTGGGCCTTGAGGGAGAGGGGAGCCTGGGCTCTGGTCACAGAGCAGCAGACAGGCAGGCGCCCCTCAGCCTGGCCCCCAGAGCAAGGTCCACCTCCTCTGGGCCCTGACTAGTGGTGAGAAGGATGCTGTCCTGTGTGGGGCCTGGCTGTGGTCAGTCAGGGCCTGCTCCGGGATGTCGGTATTTGCTGTGGCCTCTGAAGACTGACTTCCTGCCCTGGCAGTTGGGTGGGCCTGGGCCCCAGACCACCCTGCCCAGCCAATTACAGGCAGTGCCGTCAGAACCTGCCCTAACTGTGGCCCTGTGCCCCCTGCCTTCCCCAGGTGCAGGTTGTGGAGCTCAAGGTCACATGGATTACCAAGAGCTTCTGTCCGGGGGGCACAGACAGCGTCAGCCCCCCACCCTCTGTCATCACCCAGGAGAACCTAGGCAGGTGAGCTGCGGAGTGGCGCCCCCTCTGCCCACCCCCAGGGGCACGCCCTGGGCAGGTTTGAACCTCGGCTGCTGGTGCCACAGAAGCCCAGCCTGGGTACACCCACTTCTCTCACGTCAGGGTGAAGCGTCTCGGATGCTTTGACCATGCTCAGCGGCAGCTGGGGGAGCGCTGTCTGTATGTCTTCCCAGCCAAGGTAGAGCCGGCCAGGATTGCCCGTGAATATCCAGACAAAAACTGCGCCCAGGGGGAGGGCTCCATGGCCAAGAAGGTATGTCCTCGGGGCTGGGAGCCGGTGGGCATTTGAGGACCTGGCCTTCTGCCGTTCCCACGGCAAGGACGCCTGCCGCCTCCTGGTGGGCAGCTCTGATGACCCTTGCTGGCCACCGAGGGCTGACTAGCTGCCGCCCACCCAAACCGAGATGCCTGGGGTCCGGCCAGCCAGTCCCACCCAGGGCGGGGCTGACGCCTGCCCCACATGCCCCACGGTGCCCCTTCCTGCTCTGCCCTTGCAGGTCAAGCGTCTGTTGAAGAAGCAGGTCGTGAGGCTCATGTCCTGCACCCCGGACACCCCGTGTCCCCGGGACCACGCCGCAGAGGACCCAGACAGGAAGGAGGACGCCAAGGCCAGGAGCGAGCCAGGCTCCGCCAGCCCTGAGGAAACGCCCGATGGTTCGGCCAGCCCAGCGGAGGTGCAGGACGAGGGTCCCGAGGAGCCCCCCGAGGCTGGCGAGCAGCTGCCCCCCTTCCTGCTGAAGGGGGTTGGGGATGACCGACTGCACTCAGCCGAGCAGGACGCGGACGACGAGGCTGCCGACGACACCGATGACACCAGCTCCGTGACCTCCTCTGCCAGCTCCACCACCTCCTCGCAGAGCGGCGGCGGTGCCAGCCGCAGGAAGAGCGTGCCCCTGTCCATCAAGAACCTGAAGAGGAAGCACAAGAGGAGGAAGAG